AGTTTTCTTCTTTGCCACATAATAAACATCTTATTAACCGAGCTAAGTCGGTCTGTATGGGAGAATCTTGACCTCAGTCGTGTGTACAGACCTCACTGCGTTCGGTCTGTACTCACGACCTCGGTCAAGATTCTCCCCTACAGACCTCCAGCTCGGTTAATAAGAGCTAAATATAAATCAACGTTAACAAGGTACATTTCTATATATTTTATCTACAATAGCAAAACAGAGCAGAAAAGGAAACAGGGACTACGGCACTACATCGATAAGTAACCGATATGAAGTTGGGACTTGACTTTACTGACAATGGTAACCGATATGGAATTTAAACAACTTTGGGACATAACTTTATTGACAACTGTAACCGATATGAAATTGAAACAACTTTGGGACCTAACTTGACTGACAATTGTCACTCTGAACATATTTCTCTAAGTCCACGTGTCGAGGCTTGGCACTACAAGGGATTTCTAGGTGAGACCTTGCGAGGTGGGACTGGTAATTGAAGGTTTTGATGTGACGTCATCATTTCCAAAATTAAAAATTACCAGTCCTTCTGAAGTTCCTTTATAGTTTCATCAGATATAACACCACGCTCGACAGGGTTCTTCATTTTGTAATAGAGTACCGGTACGTTTGATTATTCACGTTATGCGTTGCGTGACATTAAAATGGCACTGCGGACCTGTTTTATTCCCTGACCATTTTCTAACCTGTAGAAACCCTGATTTGACTGGCAAGCACACCTCCTACTGAAACACAACAAGGGAAACTCAGATGTGAGACATGGACTAAGAATGAGATAGCTAATAAGTGATTTCACAGCCATTGAAAATTCGCATGTAGTTTATTTCATCTTTCCAGCTTTACATTTGAAATCCAGTACAACATCATGATACTTGGTGAGCTTGTTTTTATCACTTTTTGATTAGTTCTTCGCACCGCCAAAGCACCAGAAGGCAATAGAGAAATATTGAATAGGCTTGTCTTCGGGATTTTTGGTCGGGTTTTTTCTTGTTAACAAGTTAAAAACTGAAAGTTGTTGGTGTGTTTCTACTTGTTAACTTTTTTTTTTGGTTTGAATTTGGATTTTGGGTTTTTGAAAGTTTTATATTTTTGTGATGTTTTTGTATTTTGTATTTTTTCTGTTATTTTTGTATTATTGGTATTTGTTTTTTTCGGGATGATGGTGAGGGAGTCGGTAGTGTAGTAGCTCTCATAACCTGCTTTTGTTTGGTATTGTAAGCAGCTTCTATTGTTTTTAAGTCCAAGTCATTGTTTCAGTTGTTTGGTCTTTTGTTTTTGGCTAGGGTGGCGAGCCAATCATATTGTACGTTACGAGAGCTACTACATCACCGAGGAAGTAGGGTATGGCAGACNAGAGCAAGGTCTTGCTCTCCAGCAACATTTTCTATACAAATCCTCTAAATTTTCCGAAAATTCAAGCTGTTGTATTAACTTACTCTTTAATGCCAGGGGCCTCAAACTTGGCCATTTTGGTATTTTCGATGCGCTCTTTCCATTTCTGGCATTCTTTAAGTTATAGCCCATAATATGAAAATTTTCTCGGAAAAATTCGGTCACGTGACCCCAGCTGCAAAGGGCCTATTCTTAGCTGTTTCTTTGTTACCAAAAGAACCCAGTTAAATGCAGCGCATGCGTAGTAAGTCGAAAAAGTGCGATTGAATGCAGAAGAGCTTTCTCGGAAATACGCCTATTTCTCGCCAAACAGTCATTAGATTTCACAAAATTTGGCACCAAAATACTTTAGGAAATAAGTAACTGGAGTATTGAAAAAAATTTTAACTTAAACAAAGGATATTCTAGAACCTTCAACAGGGGATAATTAAAGATCTCTCTGTTAAATTATTACTAAAATAGTGTTAACTTGTAAGCATCGTTACAAACTTGTTGCATGCTAATTATAAAGTAAATCTAATGACTAGATTTTCTGCAAATAAACAAAACCGATTTTAAATGCCTGTCTATATTTATTCATGAACCACTCATTAAAATTTCACAAAATTTGGCACCAAAATGATTTAGGAAATAAATAACTGGGGTATTGAAAAAAATTAAACTTTAACGAAGGAAATTCTAGATATTCCAGTGAACCTTCAACAAGGGATAATTAAAGATCTATCTGCTGAATTATTATTAAAATAATGCTAACCTGTGAGCATCGTTTAAAACTTGCTGCATGAAAATTATAAAGTTAATCTAACGACTAGACTTTCTGCAAATAAACAAAACCGATTTTAAAGGCCTGCCTTTATTTATTCATGTTGCTATGGCAACGGCACATACGTCAGCTTAACTGTAAAAAAAAAACAAAGTTGGTGTTGTTAACTTGCTTGCAGCCATTTTTGGCGAACAAAGAATCAAGGGTTTTAGAGAAAAAGGTAAATTAAACACAGGTATCAAAAACTGTGTTCAGCCACCTTAACACTGAAAGCGGCTGTAAGAGAACTTGGCGATAAATAATTAGACACTTTGTCGACAAAAACGTAACCTGCGTAGGTAGCGTTCTCGTACAGAGAGCTTTTCCACATTCTGACCGCGTGTCAATTGGAACGAGGGCAAAAATTCGACGAATCAGGGGGTGGTGGGGTGTGAGACGGAACGCTTGCCGGCAAGCCCCTTGATTTTGAAAAACGTCCACTGGTTTTCACAGTTGAGTTCATTTATTGATTGACAACTTTGTCACCGAGTTAAAATCTTAATAATACGACGTGTATCTACATACTCGTGTGGAGGACAATAAGTCAAATGTTCGGCTTCAGACCAGCTTTTCCTGTGGTATAACTCTAACCGCTCATTAGGTCGACGGTCATTTCATTTTCTTGCTGCTAGAGAAATAATTAACTTTTGAATTATAGAACCGCCCGAAAATCGGAAGTTGTCAACGCGAGTATAAATTCGCTTAAGCAAGGAAAACAACAACCAATCACCAGCTTCTAAAATTCGGTCTCACCTTGTCAGGACACGAAAAACGACTCAGTAAAGCTAAGAAAGGTTGACAAATGAGACTATCAAAGATTGGTTCTCCTTCCCTGGTTCCTGTTTGATCTTCGCGCAGGGAACGAACGGGTTTTTCAAAATCGAGGGGTTTGCGGGCAAGCGTTCCCTCTCTCTCCCCACCACCCCCTGCTTCGTCGAATTTTTGCTCTCGCTCCAATTTACGCGCGGCCAGAATGCGGAAAAGCTCTTTGTACGAGAACGCTTGTTACGCAGGCTACAAAAACAGCTTCAAATTTTAGCGGGCCGTACAGTAGAATAAGGTAAATATAAAGTCTGCATACAAGCCAAGTGGTTCATCAGGCCGGAGCTTCTAGGGTTTCTGTAGCATGAAGTGACTAAGAGTATTTCTATCCCCCCCCCGCCGTGGATGAGATGCTAGTCTATCGCAGGGTCCCCCCAACATTCAATTCACTGGTATCCATTTATTTATACACCTGGGTGGAGAGAGACATTGCGAGAGTGAAGTGTCTTGCCC